CAAGGGAAGAGGAATAAAAATATGCTGGACATCATTCAAAAACTATTTGCTGATGGTAATTATAGGGATGGAAAACCCATCAGGCCTATGGAGCTAAAATTAATCAGCAAGTATTCATGGAGTGCCTCCTGCTTCTATTACTGTTTCTGGCTTCCTGCCTGCCCAGTGCCCAGGCTGGAGACATTTGCATGACATTCAGCTTGGCAAGACAGAAAGAGCAAAATAAGGAGGCAGAGGCTCTATACCCCATCATGGAATCATAGTCATGAGACACAAATTCCTTTTGAGAAAGGATATAAAACTAGTTTAGAGTTTCAAACTTCACTACATCACCTGAAAGGGGCCCAAATAAGTAGAGATACGATTTCTACCAAGCGATAATCAAATGTACTATTTGAAATTTTAAAGTGCAAATCCACATTCTTTTATTATTATTATTAAAGTTAGGAACAGAAACCAGCAGAATTTGTAACAACTGTACTTAATTTTCAAGGTTCTTTTACTGCTGCAAACATTTCAGGTCATAATTCTACTAAAGTATAATTAATATATAATGATTGTCACTGTTAATATTTTGATTAATAGCTATTGTAGTGGACATCTGTTGTTTTCTGTATTCAGCAACTCTCTTCCACTTGAATTTGTTCTATTTTGGTGAGTCACTCAATCTCTCTCTTCTCTTCTCATTTGTACCCCGTTCTTAGGTGTCAGTGATCAGCTCTTGACTTAGGCTTTGCCAGTACAGAATACACTTCTTGATCACAGTCATTGGTTCAGTGGATGAGCATGTGACCCCGCTAGACCAATGAAGCTCCACATAGGGACAGTAACTTATGAGAAAAGAACTCTCCACTGGCGTTACTAAGCTGGTAGTGGCGTTGTAAAGCTAGATGCTGTGGGCAGGTGGAGAAAGCCTTCTCAGGAATAAAGCCAAAAAAAGAGGAAAGTGAAACTAAAAAATAAGATTCCAACCCTCTTTGACATCATTTGAGCCCCTGGATCCAATTGTGCCTGAAACTGACATCCTCTAAACTTTTAAATAAATCAGTGTACTTTCTTTTTGCTTCAACAGTAAGGTTTCTTTTCAAGCACCAAATAAATGTCCAGATAGAATACTAACAACAAACTCTCTCTCTCTTTCTCTCTCTCTCTCTCTCTCTCTCTATATATATATATATATATATATATATACATATATATATGCATATATATGTTATTTGTATGAAAAAATAACCTGGAAGAGGCCCTACATCATTGAAATCAGTCATGCTCACCTCCTAGAAATGTTCCTTGATGACTATCGCCATGCTCTCCATATATTTAAATACCCAGATGACTTATTGATGGATGTGCAGTGCCCTATGCTGCTATCACCATATTTATACAAGTCTCAATAACAAGTTATTTGAGAATAAGTTGTTACTCTGTCTTCATTTCCTCCAGATTTGAGGCTGTATTTGAATCATTTGTAAATCCCTGTAGTCTTACATTGACGTCTAACATATAATAGTGGCTGTTTTGTTGAAGGAATGAGTAAATAGGAGAGAAAATTGTTTGGGTAAGTCCCTTCTATTAATAAAGATTCCTTGATTAATTGAAACCATCAATCAAATAGCTAATTATCAGAAGACAAAAGAAAACCAAATTGATGTATCTAGACTAAGTCCTCAAAGTGTCAGTCATTGGTAGATGTTTTGTTGAGAATTGTTTATTTCTCTGGTTATTAAGGTTAAGAGGGTGGGTGGGGGAAAAGAGGTTTTTTAACATTATAAAATGTTAAAACCAAAACATATACCATGTAAACTGGAATATAGGTTGTAGATTATAAGAGAAGAAAAAAGAGAGCAGTGGTAGCCAGAAGCTTGCTGATAACTACTAGACAATGCAATCGTATGGCTTATGGCAGGGTCTTTGTTTATGACATAGCAAAAAAATCCTAAGAAGTGTGTTAAGAAGCAGCACTATCTGTGCAGTATAGGGTGATGGAGAGTTTTAGAATGAAAATGAACAAATACTAGGGTAAAAATCTGTGGGTTAGGATAGATCAAGGAATGGAGATGAACAAATAATTGCTCTATGTAGACAAACATCTGAATAAAATTTTTAGATAAGAAAACTTCTGAGTATGTGAGTTCCAGTTATGACATGATATTGGTATTTGGGGTTTCCCCGTTCCACTCCCCCTTCAAGGTCTAACTTTCTCCATGTCCTTCAAAGATATTTACTTAAAAATCTTAGCATGGTCTGTATTTCCTTACTTCCTTCTACATGCCACTCTTGACACCTTTTCTCAAGTATAATTTTCTATGTATTCACTTCCTTTACACACTGAGCCCTTCCTAGTCTCCTTAGCCAGGTGGTCTTCCTTGAGCATAGACAGTTCCTGAAAGATATTCTCCTTCACAGAGTTGCTGAATATCTGGCTTGCCTTCAAAATGCTTCCTCTGTGCCACCATAGCTTTCTACCTTCACTGCCACCATCCTAGTACAAATCTCACTCTTTCCCTGGACCAATGCACTTGCCTCTTCACTGCTCTCGTTGCTTCCTCTCTGAGTTCCTACAATCCAAGTTACAATTTACAGATGGAATGATATTTATCAAATAGTAAATCAGAGTATGCCTATTAGTGTGCTGGTAAATGTTTAACAAGTATGGGGGACAATGGATATCTGTATATCTATATCTATTTCATATAGCATGCATATATATAGCACTTATGGTAAGTCTCACATAACCCATTGATTTTCACAGAATGGTTCCAATGATTTTGCCAAACTCTGGCAACCATAACCAACATAGAGGTGCAATTCAACCATATTTGCCAAAAACAGACTACAAATAATGGTGTATTCATATCCAAATCAGCTAAGATGTCACTGATTTGCAATATAAATGTTGGTGAATTTCTTTGCTTTAACAAGCAAAACGTAAGTGAAACAACAAAGATATACATTTGGACTTAACTCACCTTTCAGTGATGTGAGTGGCTTCTTTGTTGATCAGGTAATAGTTTTCAAGCATTGGAAAAATATTTCCTCAATGTTTTTGCTATTCACAAACATACACTTTTAAGTTTAATCTTATTAAAATTTCTTTTATCTGCTTTTAAGTTTAGACAATAAACAAATCAACCTGTGAATTGTAGTATTTTCCAATTTCTAAAAATAACTTCAAGGCATAGATAATAATAGCATAGTAAAATAATTAGGAAACGACATTTTGAACATTTATCTTTGTTTTTAAAATATTGTATTTGATGAAAGTTCGTGAATAATTTAGTTTTTAATATTGCCTGTGATTAACAATATTATTGATTTTTTAATCCTCAGCTCTCATAAACTGCTACAGCTGGCTCTAGCACACTATTGGATTATCATTTTAACCTGCTAATTGCATTATCAGGGAATGAGTGAATTTCCAATAGAATTAGTGATCATATTTGTTGTGAATTGCTGATGCAAATTCCCTCTCCCTCCTTTCTGAACAAAGTTTGGTGATAAAAATTGGTTTTGTATTCATCATCCCACCAGAGCCTCACAGATTTCCTGTGAGGAAAGTGGGATAAATAACATCCTTTTTCTTTTATAGATAGAGGGGGAAAAAAAAGAAAACCTTACCCCAGTTCATTAGGTAAATGATAGGACAGGATTTCAAACTCAGATATTACATTAAAAATTAAGCAAGAAAATTTACTAACACTGACATCAAATCTTAAAAATTTTAACAAAGGATGTTTTGATCTTATACATCCCAACATTTCTAATTTAGCTTTAAAAACTGGGGGCCTCCCCGGTGGCACAGCGGTTGAGCACTGGGTTGCGAAGCTGCCTGCAGCCTCTGCAGCGCCGGTTCGATCCCCGGCTGCTCCCCAGCCACTGGAGGAGGGTCCCGCATGGCGCACAGACCTCTCCTGCCACCCGCTGCTCCCCTCAGCAGTGTACTTCAGTCCTTCTGCCTGCTCTGCTCCCCGCTCTGGCTTTGGTGAATTCTCTCACCCACCCACGCTTCTGACTGTACCCAGTGCTTGTATAAATAAATAAAAATAAATCTTTAAAAAAAAAAACCCAAAAAAACCCCACATGTTAGTTATTATACCTTAATAAGTAAATAAGGTATAAGTACCAAGATGGAAATGTAGATTTTCAAAGAATGAACTGATAGAGTCCACCTAGAAATGGAGGAGATTAAAGCAATCTCGACCAAATGAACATGGGACAGAAAAGAAGATTAAATCAGAAGAGGAAGAAAGCTAATGACATGATGGTTAGCCACATATGCCACAAATGCAAAACAAAGTACATAATACTTGTTAGAATTATTCAGTGTGTTTGCTCTAATATTCCCAAACATGAAAAACATTAGTTTCCTGATTGTTACAACATTTATCTCACTTACCTGCTGATGTTTATTTACCTCATCCTTGAATCAGGTGTAGACTTAGGCGAGCATAAAGAATATAGATTTAAGAGGACACCCAGGAAGCATTTCATGCATGTCAGCATAAATTGTGATATCTTAGATTGCTTACAATGAAATCACTAAAAGCATCATAAGCAGCAGCAAAACACCAGAATGCTGCTAACAATTTAGCATTTCCCAGTTCATGGTAGAATCTTAATTCTAATTACAAAAAGAAGAACCAAAGTGGAATTCATTATGATTAAGAACTTGCTGTACTGGCATCAATTGTTTATAATAGATAGATCTGGTGTAAAATGCAAATATTAAAGCAGAGAGAGATGGAGCAATCAAAGCTCAGCTGGGTTCCATTGAACCTCTCACCTTATAAAGTTAAACAAGAATACAAGTGTTTCTCAAAGTCAAGATGTTATTCTAAAGAGACATCTAATAGCTGTGATAGCTACAGGAATGTTTTTTTAAGTATGTTCTGGGAACCCTCAAAAGCCGCTTTTACTGGCTTAAAATTAACATAATCATAATGATTACTGCTAACAAAATGATAAAGCGTGTACTTGATGTTAATTTTCATTTATCATAGATTTAAAGTGAATAAAGGGACGTACAAAGAAAATAAATGGAAACTAGTGAAGTGGCAAGGAATCAAGGACTATCGGAAAGTAAGTCCAGGAATCCCTATGGAAGAGGAACTATATGCAGTATACAGTAGAGGTGAGAATGAATGTGGTATCTGCTGCGCGCTTTCTTTTGCAGTATCTCTCTTTACCAACACTGCCCAAGACGTTCATCTCAGCTAATTCAAGTTCTCTATTCTCCCTGGAAAAACACACAGATTGATGCCCAGAGCATGCTGAACACTAAGGTCCACACCTTTCTGCTGTTAGCAGTTGAACTGTATGCTTAGCAACAGCTCCTGTTTGTGTTTTCCCTCCAAAACACTAATTTCATTTGTGCTTGTTATTGTAATTTTTAAAGAAAATATTAAGCAAAATGACACAAGTTTAAAAAGTAACAGATGCTTAGAAAATCTAAATGGAAAGATGCCATATAGATAATTGCTGTCAAATTGGTGGATGTAAAACAAATTTAAAAGACTGGGTTAAAGGCAGGGAGGATGACTCATAAAAATTTAGAAGTCTATACTCATTGTTTTGTAAGCACTTTTATTTATTACCCCACTTTTTAAAAACTGGGGAAAATAGTGTAACTGGGGAAAATCTTGATAATTGCTAATGATGATCAGACACTATGTCCCAGGAATTGGTCTAAGTCTTCCACTTATATTGAACTTGTTTAATCTTTAAAATCTTGAGTTAGTACTATTATCATCCCTTTTTATAGGTGATGGGAACCAAGCTGCTGAAAGTTATGTTGCCCAAAGTTACATTCCTCATAGTGGAGCCAGCCACTCTGAACTGCTAGGCTATGCTGACGCAGTATGTGTGACTTTACACCCGAAAGAAGACATGGAAACTTTAATCAGTGGGCTCACAAAAGTTTTAGAATTTTCTCAAAGGATTAGGAAATAAATGTTCACTTTGAGGTTTTAAAGTTTGAAACTTGCAAGTATCCTTTTTTAAAGCATTCATTTTCTTTAACGGACTTTTAAATTTAACACCAGTCCAGTCCAGTTGCATGAGAGGTTATTATGCCTGCTAGAAAAGGGCAGGTGAATGATGGTCTTATTAGAATGGGAGTTGGTATCTATATATAGTAAGTTGTTATAGATATCTGATCAGGAGCATGGCATGATATAAACTGATGGTTTGATGGCCTATCCCTTAGTGAGACCTGGATTATTTGAATGGGAATGGAAATGATAAAACTTGGGCCTCCCCTGGTGGCACAGCGGTTGAGCGCTGGTCTGCGAAGCTGCCCATGGCCTGGCCCCTGGGTGAGGGTCCCACATGGTACAACAGACCTCTCCTGTCGCGCCAGTTGCTTTCCTCAGCAGTGTATTTTGTCGGTCTGCCTGTTCTGTTCCCTGCTCTGGCTCTGGTGAATTCTCTCATCCTCCCGTGCTTCTGACTGTACCCAGTGCTTATATAAATAAAATAAATACATCTTTTTAAAAAAAATGGAAATGATAAAACAAATGAACAGAATGGGAGAATTCTCTTGGCTGATATGTCAATTGCTACAAAAATATAAAAAGTGGCTTAATTACTATTCATATTTAATATTTTATTGGCTATAGGATATAATCTCGACCCCATCCATTCATCCATCCATCCAATATTTACAGAGTATCTACCGTGCACTAGTCACATAATGGTGAAAAAGACACAGGCCCTGCCTTCAGAGAGATTGTTTTATGAGCACACAAATAATGAACTATCATTGTAATGTGCTACTAAAATAAAGTACAAGATACTGTAAGAACCAGAAAAAAATGGGTGTTTTGTTTCTTTTGGGGGGGGAGGCCTACTCAAGGATTTAGAGACACCTGACACAAGACAATAAAAATGAGAATCTTGAATATTTGTATACCACAACCACCTAGTAAAAGTGATACAACATTCAGCTGCTTCAATGATACAATGCTAGCATTGTAACCCTGTAAAATATTTGCTGAATGCTGACTATGTTTTGGGCTCTGTTCTAGAAGTGAGAGATACAGCAATGAAGGTCCTACTTTGGTAGTTTGTATATATCACATTTTTCCCCGACTCTACTTTTGAGGCAAATATATTTGTCTGTTTCTTCTCTTGTAGCAATTAACAATTTCCCAGAGTAAAACAGATTAGTAATTGTCATACATTGAGACTTAAATGATAGTGTAAAATACTTGCAGTCATGACTGGGTGATAGTGTAACAGGGTGGTCCCCAGGAAAGGGGGAGGTTCCCTGCCCCACCCAAGGGAGGGTGGAGCTGAGCAGGAAGAGGAGAAGCAGAAGAAGAGACTGAGGAAGGAAGCAGGATGGAGCCAGAAGGAGACCTGGAGGAGGCGCATGGAGCCTAGAGACACGTAAAGAAACTGTGCTTGTCTTTTGGTCGTGGACTGGGTGACACAGATGTGGGTGAGACCCGTGGGGAGGTGACAGTGGCAGTTTTTATCTTGATGTTGATTTTGCTCTTTTCCTTCCGGGCTTGTCTGGTTATTTCTGACCCTTTGCTGTGGGTCCCCACTGGAAGACGCTTTAGACTTGTGGCAGGCTTTGGGGCTTTGCTCTGGGCCAATCCCATATGGATGGACTTTTACCCACGAGGGGACGGGTAACTTTGGGTGCTTCATTTAGAAACTAGACTCTTTGCCTTACCTGTATTGTTTCCTAGTTTTATTAAAGTTCCTTCCCATTAAAGTCTCCTATGTTTTGTGTTGATGCGGCGGATGGCAGAACCCATGTAGAATAGGCAGGTTTGCGGGGCTTGGGCTGACCCTCTCCCTGTCCTATAACAATAGTACTCAATAAATGTTAAGGATTGTTAAAATTACTGCTGTTGCTACAATGCTTAATCTCATGTTCTTCTCATACACTGGACTTCATCTCTTGAATTAATTTCCATATACACCTCCTGAATGGGACTAATATGCTCTTTTATGAAAATAATGAAAATCAGTGAAGAAAAATTTCCATGATATCTAATTCTACTCTCCTCTCCTCACTTGCTGTGTGATCTTGAATAAGCATCGACCTTTGTAAGCCTCAGGTACCTCTTGTTGAAAAATTAAATAACACCTATTCTCTTCAGCTGTTGTAAGCAACAGGGCAGCAGGTGGGGGTGGTCATCCATTGTTAGCCATGAAGCATGCCAATTCTAACTCTGAAAAACAGACACTGGGTTCATTTACAGAAAATTTCACACTTGTGCTCATTTGAAGGTGTTTTCAATGGCAATTTTTAAGTTGTCAGTGTGAATCTTCAGTTTAAGGTGGTCTGCAGAAAAAATAAGCGGGGGGTGAAAGTTAATTGGAAACTTATAAAATACTTAAATTATGTAAAAACAGACACATTACCTAGAATTTGAAGTTTCGAGGAAAAAGTGGAAACTTCATAGAACAGAGGTTCCGCTATGAAATCGGTTTATGGTTTGAGAAGTATTCTATTGGGGATATGGTCCCTTTACATACACACACACACACACACACACACACACAAATTATTACACATAGTATGTGTACATGTCATAAGTAACCCCTAACAACTTTTAAACAGATGTACAAGGATAATCATAGCATGAGTTATTCAACTCACTTTTAAAACGTGTTATTGTAGGTTTGGATTTTAATGTTTGCCCATGAAATTATTGTTTTGGGGACGAATCCACTGAGGACATCTGATTCTAGTACTTGAGACTTAAAAGGTAGACATACAACGAGCAAGAAGGCAAAATAGGCTTCTAACACATTCCCATTTCAGTCCAAAGCAAGAGCCTTCTTCCAGGTGCATCAAGGGAAAGGAAAAGGAGTTATTTCTTCTGGATCCGGAAAGGAGGTTTGTTGCCAAGCCCTCTTCATGAAACTTCTAGTAGCCGAGAGGGCCACCGAGGCTAAGGCTTGGCTTCCCTTTACCGAGGCGGCGTCTCTTCCTTTGCCAAGATGGCGTCCCCGGACTCGGCAGGAGGCGGCCGGCGAGCAGCGTCTCCGGACAGGCGGCTTCTTAAAAGCCTAGTTCTCCCCTTTTACATCAGACGATACAGTGGGCAGCGTCTACCCTTCAGAACCGAGGAAGGGCGACCTCAGCGGCCGGCGATTGAGAAGCTCGGCCAAGATGGTGGACGCCGGGTCGGCCGGCCGGCCTCACCGTCCTTTACCAAGATGGCGGCGGGCGGCTTCCGGCACGCGCCTCCCCGAGTCTCCTCCAGACGTCACGGCAGAGGCGGCCGGCGCCAGAGTGGGAGCGCGAGTGGCTGCGGCCGAGCACCGGAGCTGGGACTAGGTGGAGCTGCGGCAGCCTCCGCCCCCGTCAGGAGCTGGCAAGTGCTGTCACCTGTGGGGGCGCAAAAGTTACCTCCCCAAACCCTAAAGCAACCCAGCACAACCTTTCCCCGAGTCCCCCAAATCACAATATGTGCCGCACAAGGTAGGAAGCTCCATGTCCGCGTCGCCTGAGCCTTTGGGACGCGGCGAGCGGGGAAGGGGGTTGGGGCGGGGGCCCGAGGCGCGGATACCCCTCGCCCCACGCCCCTTTCCTTGGGGACTGGCCACGTGTTTCCCGCGGACCGTAGGGGAGGCGCGTAACGGGAACAGCTGGAGGGAGTTTAATGCCGACAATTTAAAGCTGCGTGGATTTTGTCGCCCTCGGAGGGGCAGGGGTCCCAAGAACGCTGCAGGGTGGGCGACGCTTGGAGCCGAGTGCGGCAAATGTCAAGATTCGGGGGAGTGGCCTCCGCGGGAAACTTGGACGCGGGCCCTGGAGGGGGTGAAGGGAGAGGTCAGTCTGGGGTTTGGGGTGGGGGGTTGAGGAGGGCTCACTTTGCAAGCCGCTTAACTCTTTCGCCTGCAAGTTGCTTTTAGGCTCGCCACCCCCGGGCTTCCTTAATAACAACAGTAATAAAAAAAAAAAAGTGCAAAGAAATGCAGCTCGCGGGAGGTTTTGCATTTGGCGTGCAACTTCCTTCAAGTGTGAGTGCACTGGAGGGAGGGAAGGGGGCCGAACTTGGCTGGCGGCGCCTCCTTCTGCCGCCGCCGCCTCGCCGACTCGGGGAAGAGGGTGGGGGACAGTCGGGGTGCGGGGGAGGGTGGGTTCTGCTTTGCAACTTCTCTCCGGGTGCGAGAGCGCGGCGGCGGCTGCAGACGGCTGCCCAGACGATGCGGGGGTTGGGGACCTGCCGGCCGGCGACTCCTCCGGGGCACAG